GGCACAGAGGGCTCGCCCACCGTGCAGAATGAGGCTCAGGTCCGAAAGTTCCCCCACCCTGTGCCGCACAGAGCAAGGATGCATCTCCCGGGCAGCGACGCCTGGGTACACTTCCCCTCTCCCTGTGACCACAGGACTGGAGACTGTGCTCTCTGCCAGTCACGGGCCAGTCTCCCACTCCCGACCCTGCATCCCTGCTCCCACCCTGCCCCTCCCTCAGCCCCGGCATCCCCTGAGCCCCATGCTGCGGTATCAACTGGTGTCCTGGGGAGAGGGAGCTCCATTCTCAGAAGAGGGGCGGGCTCGCTGGTGTTGAGCTACCAGCCCAAGAGCATCGGGAGCCAGAGCCAGATCACCAGCTGGGACCCCAGACTGGGCGGAGCCGGGTGCTCTCTCCTGGCGCAGCCACCTCTCCTGGAACGCCTCTGGACACAGTCCCCATGCGGGCTCCTGGAGTCCTGGGAGTGCAGGGCTCACTGTGAGCTGGGAGCAGGGAGGCATGAGGCAGTGGCCCTGGGCCTGGTGGCTGCACTGATGGAAAGCTGATGCTGCAGGATGTGGATGGGGGAGTCCCCCTTGGCAACACTTCCCGGACTCAGGAAGTGCTCCAAGCCCCAGCAGGGGCGGGGAGAGGGGGCGTTCGCGACACCACACTGTGGTGAGGCCAGGCATCTCTCCTCATCCCTTACTGGTCTGTGGCCTGGACCCTCAGCCCACGGAAGGAGCCCTGCTGTGCCCCCACTGCGCACTCACCACATCCTCAGGCATCCTCCTCCCTTCACAAGGAGTGAGCCCAGTGCTTAGAGAAGACTTGTTTCTGGCCTAGTTAGCCTGCCAGCGCAGAGCAGGGCAGGGCAGGGCTGGGGGTGGGTGGCAGTGACTCCTTGGTGCCATGGCAGGAGTGGAAAGGAATGCTCCACACTGGGCCTCCCTGTCACAGGGGGCAAAGGGTGGGCAAGGAGCAGCAGCCACCATCAGACAGGTGGGAGGGGAGGGGGACATGCCACAGGAATGGAGACCTGCTTCCTGATACTTCCCTGGGCCCCCCCAGTCTGTCTCTCTGGTGCACACCTACTGCGTGCCAGGTACTTGCCTAAAGAGGACTGTGTCTGCCTACCTGAACGTCCTAGCAACCCTGTGGTGTCTGCACATTTTACCCAAGGAGACTGAGGCCCAGGAGGCTACGGGGCATGTGGGGCAGCCCCGCTTCTCCTGAGCTGCCCAGCCCAGGTGCATCTCTGGCCCCAGTTTTTCAGCTTCCTCTCTCACTGGGGCCCCAGGTCCCACCACACACCCGGGGAGTTTGAGGGCTGCAGGTTCTTCTGGCTGCTTCCTAGGGGACTCTCAGCTTGGCCCCATGACTTCTACTCTGCCAGGGGCCTCCCCTGCCTGTCCAGTTCCCAGCATCCGTCTCCCACCTCTGACTCGGTCTCCCCTCTGGGGCCTGAGCTGGAGGCAGAGGTGAGCAGTGGCCTTGGGGGGCCACCTGACCTGTCCCCACTTTGGCATCAGTGCCATGAGGGGCTGTCTGAACCCCAGGACGCTCCTCCACACCTCTGCTCCTAGGACTCAGGATCCGTCCCGCCCCAGACAGCATCCACCCCGCATCCCCAGAATTGTATCCATGTAGTTTCCACAGAGTTGTCCATGGAAAGTGCTTCTTGTCCATAAACAAGGCAGGATGTGCCTCCCCCGGGCTGCCCCCCATCTCCTGCCCAGGGCTAGACAGTGAGGGGCTCCCTGTGTGGCCACTTCCTCACCTGCCCAGCTCATGGTGCTCCTTGGTCCCTTGTTGTGTGGGTTAGGATTGTGTGGCTGCATGTAAGGGGAAACCCTGGTGAACAGAAGTCGAAGGAGGCTGTGTATTTTCCCTTGTGCAATTCTGCCAGTACCAGCACTGGGCAGTAACTAGGCCTTCACTGAGTCCTCAAGACCCAGCTCCCTGCAGCTCTCCTGTGTCATCCCCAGGTGGGGCTCTCATCCTCATGGACCCGGAGGGAAGTTCAGGCTCCAGCCATCACACCCTCAGTTCCAAGCAGCAAGCAAGAGGAAAGGGTGATGCAGGGTGTACCCCCTTTCTTTTAAGGTGCTTTCCCAGGACCCATGAAACACAGCTGCTTACATCTCATTGGCCAGAGTGCAGCCTCCCCTAGCCAAGGGGGGCTGGGAGATGAGGGCTTTCACCTGTGGGGCATCTCATCCCTAGTAAAAAGAGGAGAACAGATGTGGGGGCCGCCAGCAGCTCCCGCCACCCTTGCAAAGCTCCCACATGGCTGTGACCCTTTCCCTTTCCTGTGCCTACATGCCAATGTAAGCCTACCTGGCTTTCTGCCCACCCTACCCCACAGGCGGCTGTGGGGCTTGTTGGGGAAAGTCAACGTCAGCCCGTGGCCATGACCTCAGCAGCGCTCAGCTGGCAGCAGTCTGCTCCCCTGCCCCAGTGTGTTCACATTCCCCCTCCACAGCCCACTGCCGGGCTGCCCACAGGCTCATGCCCACCTTCCTGCCCCGAGATCCTGCCACCTGCCCGCATCCACCGTGTGCTGCCCTCCCTGCTGTCCCGGCACTGGCTGCTCTCCTGTCACCTCGCTTGCCCATGTAGATTCTGGCAGCCCGCGCCTCCCCGTTCAGAGCCAACGTTATCAACAGAGCTGTTGCCACCTCTGGCCCCAGAGGACCCTGCCCCATGGGCCTCCCCAGCATCCTCCACATGCCCTGCTCACCTGGCTGCCAGTTCCTCCTTCTCAAAGTCCTGGGGCACCCTGGGCTTAGGGTCCCCACCTCGTCTAGTCCCTGCCATGTCCAGTCCCTGCCACAATGACCTCTGAGGGCCGGGGGCCTTCCAGACCCAACAGAGCCAGACCATGCTCCTCCCGCCCCCGGCCCTGCCACAGGGTGCCACCTGCAGCCCCCACACTCTGAACACCCTTGCCCACCTCACCTTGACATCCAAATCCCCAGGAAGGTGTAAGACCCCTTGCTCCCAGACTTCCCCATGTCCTCCCAGGTCCTCTGCACATGCTCAGTCTTGCCGGTGCCCACCATCCTGTCCTGTGTCTACCTGTGCTGCCCAGAGATGTCTCGGCTGCCTGGTACCCTCCCCCTTTCCCCCACTGACTGTGTGCCCCCGTGTGTCCCCTCACTCCTGAGAGTCTATTCCAGCTGGCTATGCCCAGGGCCTGGCGTGGATTCCCTCAGTCTCCACCTTGGGAGCCCAGAGGGACATGCCCCAGCCCATGCGGGAGCAGGGGCTTCCTGGAGGCACCACTTATGGGGGTGGACTAGGCAGGTGGAGCTGAGGGAGGTGACAGCAGGGAGGAAAGGGCAGTGCCCAAGCAGGTGACCCTCTGCAGGCAGGACTGTCCTGAGGGGCAGGGCTGAGACCTGTCTGCCCCCGTGGCCGTCACTGTCCTCTGGCATCTGGGCAGCCTTTGCCCTGTCCCACCCCCAGGGTCGACTTCTAGCCTCACAGAGGTCCATGAGGTAGGCGGTCTCATTCACTGCTGGGCCTCATTGCCCATGGAGACAACCCTGGGGTGTCCACGTCCCAGCTCGTCCCAGACAACCCTGTGTGGCGGTCCCATTCAGAGGCAGCTCTGTTGGGTGCTGACCTGTTCTCTCTCTTCCTGGGAAACAGGGACCAATCGTGGCTGGGCACTTGTCTCCCAGGATAAAGACATTTCCTGCTTCTGGGGCAGTGGGCAGCTGGATGCTGCCTTGTGACTAGGTTATGGCCAAGTCAATGTGAGCAGTGTGTGTGTGTTAAAGGAGAGGGTCCTGGGAAGGCTTCTCTTGGGAATTGGCTCGGTGGGGAGGTGCACCCCTCCTCCTTCCTTCTGTAGACCCAGTGATGGCTGGAGCCCCAGCAGCCGCTCTGGGCTATGAGGTAGTCTTGGCAATGGAGGCCAGACATTGGATACTGAGCCAGAAACTGTGAAGAAACATGGTGCTCAGGACACCTATCTTTAGACTTACAATTGACAGAACACACATGAACCCTTGTGTTTGTAAGCCACTCTTACCTGGAGTTCTCAGTTCCCACCCTCCCCATTTCCACAACAGCCCATCCAGCCCAGCACTGAAGCTGTGACCTGTGCCCTTCCAGTCCTCACACCCACCATCTGCTGCTCCCTGGGCTGACTTCAGCCAGCCTGCCCTGGAAGAGGGCAACAGTGCTCTGCACCAGCTGGTCTGGCACCCCCTGCCCTGCTGGGCCCCACCAGCAGCCCCACAGCCCTGGGATCGAGCCCAAGCCCTCAGCCCAGGACTGAGGGCCTGCTCCTGCCAGCCCAGCCTCACATGCCTGCACCACCTGCCCTGATGGGCACACTGTCCATGGAACCTCTGCTCGCTGCCTCTGCCCTTCTCAAGCACTGCCTCCTCCAGCCCAAACACCCGTGCTCAGCAGCCATCTGAGCTCCAGTCTGCCGGCAGTGTTCTTCCTGGACCCCTGCTCCCTGCATCCTCTCTGTTCAGGGTCACCTTCTGCTCACCTGTGCATCCCAGGTCTGCTTTAATACCACTGCCTTCCGTAGATGCTGCGTGAACGAATGGCTCCGCCTCCCCGTTCTTCGTGGCTGCCCGTAGCTACACTGACTCCGGCCCACAACTTGAGGCTGCCACGGGGCCCAGCCTCTCTCCTCTAGGCCAGGAGCCCCTGGGGATGGTGCCATTTTTAAAGCCTGGCCACCCAGAGGTATTGGCCTCCATCAGTCCAGGGACACAGGGGAGGGGTGGGCAAGCTGGTGGCGCCCTGTATCTGTGCTCTCAGCCACCAGGCTCAGCCTTGGGACAAGCTGACCCTCGGGGTGTGCAGAGTCGGGCATAGACACGTGGCAGGGACTTCTGGGAGGTGCTGGGCCAGTGAGTCTGCAGGTGGCCCCCCATTTCCCTCCCCTGAACTCAGGACCCCAGGTTTTCCCAGCCTGAGTCCTTGTCAGCCCCTTCCCCCCATGGGAGGGGCGGTCCTCTCCTGTAGGTGGCTCCTGCGGAACTGGGGCATGGCCCTGCTCACTGGCTCTAAACTCACCTACTGGTCAGGCTGCCTCAGGCTCCCCTGCCCCCCACCTGCCTGGCTTATGGGGACCGAAACCACATTGTGCCAAGTGTAGGGGGGAAGGAGAGTGCTGGGGGTGCAGCATCCTCCACCTGGGCCTCCAAGGAAGCAGGACCTCAGCAACCCCTTAGCACCAAGTCACCCAAGGGGGTCTGGACTGAGTGGTGGAGCTACTCCCAGGCATGCAGTGGCAGTGCCCCCGAGCCTCATCCCCTACCCCATCCCCACCTGTGACATGCACCCACTGCCCTGCCCCATCTCTGCCCCTCGCCCCTACCCCACCCCTAGGCCACAAACACCCACTCCCACTCTTCCTCCCCAGCCTGGCCCCTGTGCAGAAGGGCCGGCCCAGCCCCCAGTTTCACAAGCCCTCACTCCTGCCGGTCAGAAACACAGAATGAAAGTTTGTCTTTTATTAATAATAAGCATTCATCAAAAGATCTGATACAAAAAGCACCAGGGTAACAAATTAATCTTGAATTAAACTTTACAAAAATACCCTCTCCTCTTCTATCTCATCCGAAATATCCCAACTTTATTTCAAGATGCACAGGAATATACAAGGAGTCTTCCACATAAAAATGTCTTACAAAGCTATAGTAACTAAAACAGTATGATGATAATATATGGCCAGGTAGGCAGGACAGAAGCTCCAGAAACAGAACCACTGGGGACTGCAACACATGATAAAGGTGGTGTTCCGAATTTGCAAAAAACCCCGAATTCACTGATAAATGGTGTAGGGACAACTGGACAACTATCTGAAATTTTAAAAATTGGATTTCCTGGCTCACATTTTATATCAAAATAAATTACAGGTAGATCAATGATTTAAATGTGAAAATGAATCCATAAAAGTACTAGAAGAAAAGATAAAGGAATTTTTAATATAATTTCTGAATGGGGAAGAGTATTCTAACTATAACACAAAACTCAGAAGCCATGAAAGACTGATAATTCAACTACATAAAATAATCTACATGGTATGCTGTGCAGTGGCTCACACCTATAATCTCAGCACTCTGGGAAGCTGAGGCAGGAGGATCACTTGAGGCCAGGACGTGGATACCAGCCTCGGCAACACAGCAAGACCCTGTCTCTACAAAAATAGAAAAATTAGCTGGGCGTGGTGGCACGCGCCTGTAGTCCCAGCTACTCGGGAGGCTGAAGCAGGAAGATCGCTTGAGCCCAGGAGTTTGACTTTGCAGTGAGCTATGATGACACCACTGCACTCTAGATGGGGCTTCTACATGGCCAGAAAAATAACAACAAAAAAGAACAGCATAAGGAAAATCAGAAGATAAACAGGAAATATTTGCAGTGCATCACATAGAGCTAATTTTCTTAATGAATAAAGAACTCCCACAACTTAAGAAATAAACTAGGAGGCCGGTGGGGAGGGAGAGCCGGTGCCCTGGGGACACGGTGGAGCAGGAGGCAGGCTCCCAATCCGGTTCCATCTGGTTCTCCCACCGCCCCAACCTCGGGTCTCAGGTCTCAGCAGCTTGGGCAGCCCAGCTTCACGAAGGCTCTTGTCGGGCCTCGGTCTGCAGGCATCCAGCACGCAGCATCCTCCCCACCGCCAAGATGCTGAAAAGGAAGGTCAGCTCAGCCACCAAAGGCACTGCATGGTGAAGGAAGAGCCCAAGAGGAGATCTACGCGGCTATCAGCTAAACCTGCTCCTGCAAAAGTGGAAACGAAGCGCAAAGAGGCAGCAGCAGAGGATAAATCTTCAGACAAAAAAGTGCAACCAAAAGGGAAAAGGGGAGCAAAGGGAAAACAGGCTGAAGCGGCTAACCAAGAAACTAAAGATTTACCTGCAGAAAATGGAGAAACTAAAACTGAGGAGAGTCCAGCCTCTCATGAAGCAGAAGAGAAAGAAGCCAAGTCTGATTCATATCATACACCGTGTCTTATCAGTGGTCCCTGTCTCCCTTCTTGTACAATCCAGAGGAGTATTTTTATCAACTATTTTGTAAATGCAAGTTCTTTAGTAGCTCTAGAAACATTTTTAAGAAGGAAGGAATTCCACCTCATTCCATTTTTTAAGTGTAAATGCTTTTTTTTAAGAGGCGAAATCATTCGCTGGTTGTTTATTTTTTGGTACAACCAGAAAACAGTGAGGGATATTGAATTATGGGAGGCTTTGACTGTCTTGGGTGTCAGCTTAACATTCCTTAGATGGGGGTTAGTTTTTATATCCTATAATACAGAGCATACTAAATGGCAATATGGAGTCCCAGGCCTGCATTTAATGTCTTGAACATTTTAAATTACTTCTATTCCCATGTTGTTTTTTAGTAGACTTGTTTCCTAAAGAAAATCACTCCTTGATCATGGCTGTCTCTGTCAGAATGGCGTACACTCTGTAACATCTCTGGTCGTGGTAGTCCTGTTTTCCTGATAACTTTGTTTACGTGCTGTGAAAGATGGAAAATTTGAGTATGTAGTATACATGATAATAAATTGTGAATTGGTGGGACTTATGTAACAGCTTATCAACATTTGAAGATACTGGTACTTGATATCCTCTTAAGGAAAATTTGCCTCCAAATTTTAAGCTGGAAAGTCACTGGAGTAACTGTTTTAAAAAGAATTAAAATAAATGGCTTTTTAGGTTTTCAGTATGTATGTTAAGAACTGTGTACAAATTGAAATGTCTGTACTGATCCTCAGCATAACCAATACAATCTCAATTACAAAAAAAAAAAAAAAAAAAGAAACTAGCAAGCCAATAAAAAAATGGGCAAAGGATACGGACATACAATTCACAGAAAAGGGTAAAACAAATTCTTACACATATGAAGAAATGCTCAGTACCTCACTCCTGAAAGAAAAGTCAACTGAAACTGTAAGATACCACTTTTTCACACAGCAAGAAGCAAACTGTTTGCTAACACGCTGGGTGTGTGAGGGCTGGGTGAATAGTGCTCACACACTGCTGGTGGAAAAGCATAATGATACCACTTCTAAGAAGGGCAACTTGGCAATATCTATCAAAATTATAATTACACAAACACCCTGACTCAGCGATTCCTCTTCCTGATGCATGTATGTACGTATGTATGTATGAAGAGATACACACACAAGGACATCTGCTGTGGGACTGCGGGGCACAGGGAGAGACCAGAAACAGCCTGCAGGTCCAACAACCAGCATCACTCGCATGAGTGACAGTGCACCTCCACCCTGCAGCAGAACTGAGCCTGTCCCTGAGCCACAGGACACAGAAAAGCCCTTCCAGAGAGGCAGAGCAAGGACCTGAAACCCACTCCTCTACAATGCCCAGAACACCGGGGAAACTGCCAAACCAACTTTTTCAAAACTCCGGAAATGAACAAAAGGCTTATAACACAATCCAGGACGTGTTTGTTCAAGAATGACTGAATCTTGGTAAGAACAGTGAGCTTGTGGTGTTAACATGCACTAGCCCATTTCCCTCACCCAGCTCTGCAGTGGCCTTAAAACTAGCAGCCATGTGCTTTTCTGGGGAGCTTTAAAATTAAAAAAAAATAAATAAAAATAAAACTAGCAACCACGGCCAGGTACAGTGGCCATAACTGTAATCCTAGCACTTTGGGAGGCCAAGGCAGGAGGATCACTTGAAGCCAGGAGTTCAAGACCAGCTTGAGCAACGTAGCGAGACCCTGTCTCTAAAAAAAGATTGTAAATATTAGCCGGGCATGCTGGTACACTCCTGTAGTCCCAGGAACTCAGGAGGCTGAGGCAGGAGGATTGACTGAGCCCAGGAGTTCAAGGCTGCAGTGAGCTGTGATTGTGCGACTGCACTCCAGCCTGGGTGACAGAGCGAGACCCTGTTTAAAAAAACCACCACCACTACCACCATCACCACCAAAACCCCCCAAAACCAGCAGCCACATATCCACGGAAGCTAGGAATTACAGCCTAGCAGCCACTGAACAGGGAGGAGTGGGTTTGGAACTCCCTCAAAAGCCCCATCCCTAGAAGACTGTCACTGTTTGACTTCTCTGGCTGCAGGGCTTATCATTATTTGGCCTGACTCAGCTGGCTCAGTAGGGGTTTGTCAAAAACATGACAGCTGCCTAGGGTGGTGACAGCCACTGGGGCAGACAAGAGGCTGGCCAAAGATCTTGAATAGAAGAGCAGAGGAATGAGATGTCCACAGTGGTCTTTGAAAAGCTCTGACATACCCCTGGAGATATGGGAGGTCATGCATGAGGAGGACCTAAGCTCTTGCCTCTGGCTGACTCTGTGGCTCTGTGTAAGTAGGAAGTGAAGGCTAAGGCAGAGTTGGCAGCTGCCTGCCTGGGTGTTGAAGGTGTGCCCAGTGCACACACACAGCTTGTTGGCAAAAACTGGGAGAGTTATTAGTTCAAAGCACTTAAGGAAATCTCTGTCCAGTCATTAGCTGAGCATGAAGTTGACCAAGCAGACATTTCAGTGGCTGCATACAACCAACAGTACAGATTTTACAGAATTAGTCCAGGAAAGACACTAAACAAATACTAACAACAGCAACAACAAATCCTGTGGAGGGGGCATATGATTGTTCCAGAGTTATATATCACATTATTAATATTTAAAATGTCCAGTTTTCAACAAAAAATCTTAAGATGCACAACGAAACAGTATGTGTTTCCTTGGCCCATATATAGGAACAAAAGCATTCAATAGAAACTGTCCCTAATTAAGCCCTGATGTTGAACTCACTAGACAAATACTTTAAATTAGCTACTATCAGTATATTCAAAGAACTAAAGTAAACTAAATAAACTGTGTCTAAAGACTTGAAGTATGAGAATAATTTTTCACTAAATAGAGAATATCAATGCAAATATAGAAATTATAAAGGAGAAACAAATAGAAATTCTGGAGTAGAAAAGTACAATAACTGAAATGAAAAGTTCACTAGAGCAGCTTGACATCAGATTTTATTCGGCAAAGGAAATAATCTTTGATATTGAAGATAGGTCAACTGAGATTATCCAGTCTGAGGAACAGAAAAAAGAATTTTGAAAAGCCTCAGAGACCGTGGACACCACCAACCATACCAACACACACACATAATGGGAGTCCAAGGAGAGCAAAGACGGGAAGCAGAAAGAATATATAGGCAGGGTGCAGTGGCTCATGCCTGTAATCCTAGCTAGCACTCTGGGAGGCCGAGGCAGGTGGATGGTTTGAGCTCAAGAGTTCGAGACCAGCCTGAGCAAGAGCGAGAGCCCATCCCTACTAAAAAAATAGAAAAGAAATTAGCTGGACAACTAAAAACATACAGAAAAAATTAGCTGGGCATGGTGGCGCATGCCTGTAGTCCCAGCTACTCGGGAGGCTGAGGCAGAAGGATCACTTGAGCCCAAGAGTTTGAGGTTGCTGTGAGCTAGGCCGATGCCACGGCACTCTAGCCTGGGCAACAGAGTGAGACTCTGTCCAAAAAAAAAGAAAACAAAAACTGACAGAACTGGAGGGAGAAAAAGAAAATTCAACAATCATGGTTGAAGACTTCAATATCCCACTTTCAATCAAGAGTACAACAACTAGGCAGAGCAACACAGAGACAAGGCTTAAACAATACTACGAACCAACTAGACCTAACAGACATCTACAGATACATTTCACCTAGTAACAGCAGAAGATTCTCCTCAAGTTCATGTGGAACATTCTCCAGGACAGAACATATGTTAGGCTATAATATAACTCTCAATACATTGAAAAGAACAAAAATCATATAATGTATGTTCTTTGGCCACAGTGGAATGAAATAAGAAATCAATAACAGAAGAAAATTTGGGAAATTCACAAGTATGTAGAAATTAAACAAACTCTTAAATAATCAATAAGTAAAAGAAATCACCAGAGAAATTAGAAAATACTTTGATATTAAAAAAAGACAAAGACATCATATACCAAAACTTATGGCATGAAGCTTAATCAATACTTAGATGAAAATTTATTGTTACAAACACCTATATTAAAAAGAAAGATTTTAAATCCATAAGCTAATCTTCCATCTTAAGAAACAAGAAAAAGAAAAGAAAACCCAAAGCAACTCAAAGGAAAAAGGAAAAAGACTACAGTGAAAGTTAATGAAATAAAAAATGGAAAAATAATAGAGAACAATCAACAAAGCTAAAAGTTATTTCTTTGAATAGATCAATAAAATTGATTATCTTTAGCTAGACCAACCCAGGCAGGGGAAAAAAGAGAGAGAAGACTCAAATTACTAAATCAGGAAATACTATGAACAATTGTGTGTCAACAAATAGTAACAAATAACCTAGATGAAATGGACAAACTCCTAGAAAGATATAAACTACTGAAACTGACTCAGGAAGGAACAGAAAATCTAAATATACCTATAATAAATACAGATAGTGAATTAGTAATAAAAAAATTTCCCAGGAAGAAAAGTGCAGGACCAGATGGCTTCACTGGTAAATTCTACCAAATGTTTAAATAATTAACACCAATCCTTCATAAACTCTTCCAAAAAATCAGAGAGGAGAAAATACTTCCTAACTCAATCTATGAGGTCAGTAGTACTCTGATACCAAAGCCAGACAAAGACATCGCAAGAAAAGAAAACTACAGACCGATAGCTCTTTGTCAGTTGGTTATCAGTAAGTGTGCCAAGATAATTCAATGGGGAAAGAACAATCTTTCAACAAATCGTGCTGGCACAACTGGATATCCACATGCAAAAGAATGAAGTTGGACTCTTATGTCATATATAAAACTTAACAACATGGATCAAAGATCTGCACGTAAGAGCTAAAATTATAAAACTCTTAGAAGAAAACTATAGGTGTAAATCTCTGTAATCGTGGATTAAGCAATTGTTTCTTAGATGTGACATCAACAGCACAAGTAACAGGAAAAAAAATAGATAAATTCGACTTCATCCAAATTAACTTTTGTGCTTCAAAGGACACTATCAAGAAAGTGAAAAGACAGTATGGCAGAGAATATTTGCAAATTATATAAGGGTCTAGTATTCAGAATGTATTAATATATAAAAACTCTTACAACTCAAGACAAATAATCCAATTAAAAATAGGAAAGAGGCTGGGCACGGTGGCTCACGCCTGTAATCCTAGCACTCTGGGAGGCCGAGGTGGGCGGATTGTTTGAGCTCAGGAGTTCGAAACCAGCCT